ATGCTACCATAAGCTCGCCTACCACACTACATTGCTTCGTGTATCAAGGTGACACAAAGGTATCAAGTTGCAATGTGATTGATCATAACGATTCATATGATGAGCTTGTAGTTAGACTTGCTAGTATGAGCATGGGCTTAGCAAATGAGATAACTAAAACAAGAAAATTGGAAAGTGAAAACTCATTTCTAAAGAGTTCATGTGAACAACAAAAGCTTCTACTTTATGTAATTAGCTGTTCACATGAGGAGCCAAAATTGACTCATGAGGAGCTTAGTGTTGCTCATGAGAATTTGGTACAAGATCATGCTTTTCTCACTAACAAGCATTCTAATGAATAACCTAAAACTAGTGAGAGCTCATCATATGGGTTAGATGATCAATTGCAAAATATTGCTAACCCTTGTGATGTAGGCATGAAGAAAAATGTATCCACCTCTTGTGAGTTTTGTTAGCTATGCCTTGTTCTTCACATATAGATGCTTGTTCTTTCTCTATGTTTGTTTGACTAACCTTGTAGAGGAAAACATAGATCTCAAAAATCAAGTGAAGGATTTACGCAATAAATTAGAGAGGTGCTACACCACCAAAGTCACCTATGAGCACATGATGAATAATAAAAGAAGTTATGGTGACATGAGCGGCATTGGCTTCAACAAGAGCAAGATCAAAGGCAAAAGATAGGATAAGAAAAGATATAAAAGAGAGATGAAGAAGCAAGAACAAGAGAAGCTATCTCATTTCATGTGCTACCGATACCATGAGATGGGACACCTTGCAAGTGTTTGCCCCAACAAAGAGAGGCTCAAGAAAATGAAGAAGAGTGGCTCAAGCATGTCAAGTGTTTCGAGCGTCGCACATGGGGACACCTCACCTCAATGTGCCCAACCAAAAAATTGGTGAAGCAACAAGTAGAGCCTCAAGTAAAACCATGAAGACAGTGTTGATATGGGGAAGAATAAAAGGAGAACAAGAACAGGTGGTAGAGCAAGCAATACGTCCAAGGATGAATCAAGACGCAAAGAAAATGAGCAAGAACAAAGAAGAGAAGATGAAGAAAGTTGCTCACATCAAGTGCCACAACGTGATGAATTCGGTCACCTTGCCTTGGGTTGTCCTAACAAGCTTAAGAATAAGGCTCAAACAAATGAGAAGAGTCAAGACAGCATGAAGTAAGACACAGAAGAAGAAGAAGAAGAAGAAGAAGAAGAAGAAGAAGAAGAAGGCTCAAAACAAAAGAACTTGCTACACATGCCGGGAGAAGAGACACATGGTCAATCAATGTCCCGAAGGTAACTCACTTAAGCATATTTCAATTGATGAAAATATTATGTTTAGAAATGATGGCAATGGTACCTCAAATATTATGCTTAGGAAGGATGAAAATATTAAATGAGAAGTAGTGATCTATCTTAGAAACGTCGAATTTATAATGACAATCATTGAATTTATAATGGTATGGATCCAATTAATCTTTTTAGAAAATATCAATGAAAACTGGGTCATCCGGTTTTACAGACAAGATAGGGAGGTCTTCGCAGCCAGCAGCGCTGTGAGGTCCTATCCTGCGACTCGTACGCTCGAGTGCTTTTGGTGTCTAGCCAACCAAAAGAAACTTCCACCGTGCATGAAAACATTCGTCTGGAGATTGATCAAAAGAGCAATAGCAACTGGAGCAAGGGCTAGAAGATACTCCAACAAAATAAGTAAACAATGCTGCACTTGCAATGACATTGAAAATGACGCCCATTTGTTCTTCCACTGCACTTTTGTTAGAGCGATTTGGTTCTCTGCAAATCCACGACTTTGTTCTTCAACCCTACCCCAAGAGCAAGATGGCGTACAGGAAATTCTACCCATTATCATAAACCAACAACCTACAGACGACCACATGAGGCCAGGAATGACACAGGAGATTCAACAACAAGGGATGACATGCTCACGATTCATAACTAATTTGGTTAACCCCTTAGATTAGTCAACAGAACCTTATATACATTCGACTTAGCTTGAACCAGCGAAGCGTCCGCTGAATTACAAAAACCAACAGCCAGGTAACCCGAAAGTGCCCAGTTTCTACCGGAGCGTCCGTGGAATCTCACGGAGAGTCCGCTGATTTATAAGCCTGGATAACCAGAGAACCCGAGAGCTCCCAGTTTCCACCAAAAAGTCTATCAAATTGCACGGAGTGTCCGCCAACCACAAACCCACTAAAAATGCCTAAGTCCCAAACCACCGGAACGTTTCACGAAAGGTTCGACTGGTTCCCGGTTAATGCTACCACCATCTAACCGGCGCCACCTTCTTGCCAGTTTCACGGATAGATCGGTCGTAATCAGTTACTCGGCCTGCCGCCCCCATATGCGACATGTGGTCTGTATGGGTGGATACTCGGACTCACTTATCCCAATGAACGGTACTTATATGCTCCACGAGCTACGTTACTTGAAATCCAACACTCATCGTGACCTACCCCTCACATGAGCGGAAATTACCAAATTGATCATCAAGTTTGGAATTCAAATTAAGGTTAGTCCTTAGTCATAATTAGGCAATTGGATAAGTTGTAACCCTCATATATTTTAGTGATTAATTATCCCCATGTAGCATCCTACAAGCGCGAGCATAAGTTCCCTTCTCAAACTCGACTTCTAACGGTGCTAGGCAAATAAGCAATTAAGCGTTCTAAACCTTGTTGATTAAGTGAAGGCTCTAATTGATTAATGAGTAGTTCTAAATTAATGAAGCAACATTATTTGTTAATCAAATTCAATGAAATGCATGACTCATAATGAAACAAATAACGAGTATCCAAAATAGGGTTCATAATAGTGGGGAGCCTGCCTGGTTGTGTCGTCTGGACGACTATGAGGAACAAGGGGTTCGTCTGGTTGCTTTGGAGAGGCGTCCCAAAAGGGACTTCACTTGGGAGAACACCAAGAAGTTCCGAGCAGCTTTGAAGCACTTCTAGCAGGAGAACGACACTCTGTCTCCCTACTTACACCAAAACTCAGTTCAGGCTTTTCTGGGGTGAATTTGTCAATAGGTCGATGCAGGATAGCCAGTGGGTCAACTGGGTTTACTTGGAGACCTTTCCGTGTATCCGGGACTTGATGAGTTGATCATTTTAAATGTGCAATTTACTACTCCTGTTATGTTACTAGTAGTTAAATTAATATTGAATCATGAGCATGTCATATTAAGAAACGCCATTACTTTTCTGCAAATATACAAATGCCTAATAACCCTTGCTTCCACCAAATATGTAAGTTGGAATTAAGTCCTGTGAGTACGCCATGTACTCACGGTGCTGCCGATAAGTTGTTTTGTAGGTAAAGGAAAGGGGTGAATCGAGCCGAGCTCAATTCATGCAAATTTAGTAGACTTTGGAACTGGCGTTCTCCAAAATGAGCTGCGTGTAATTCCGATGTATTAGTGAGCGACAAGAGTGGAACTTAGAACCGAGTTAGTCAGTTAAGAAAGTAACCGTTCATGAACCACAACATCTGTAACTTATTTTATCGTCAATGATGTTTCAGCTTCGAGTTGGAGACTTTGTTGCTTATCAAATGAGTTGTACGGTATGCTTTGTATCGGGTATGTTTGTGTAACTCGACTGTTAAGATCCTGAAGAGGAGGTGCGGTTGGCATTCTGCTGAGGGCCTCGTGTCGGTTGGGAATGGCTCAGGTTCAAGAGGATGACGCCTGTGTCGGTCTAACAGATACGGGAACAACCCCACTGTCGGCGCAGGGCGCGCCACAGGACGGGTAGACATGGATAGTTTGGCAGGTCCATAACTCGGTTCAGCGGACATCAGTGGCTCTTCTGTCCAGGGAACCAGAGGACAATCAGGAACACACAGACCCACAGCTACAGCATGGTGACCCTATGACCAACCACACCCCGGTGCAAACAAATCAAGGTATATCTTTCTCTGGCTCAAGCTGCACTACTAACAAATCCAGGTCCTTTGCAACTAAGATGAACAGAACAACCTCTTCTGCCCATAACACTTTCAGGGCAACGATGTTACACTGATGCCTCACTCAGGCCGGTTGACAACAGCAGCACAAGACATGCGGGCCTAGGAGTCTTCTTGCTGCATCAACAAGGATCGACACGGCTTACTCTTTATGTGCAGACACAGCTGAACCACAACCACCTCGGTGCTAACGGCGGAAGCAACGGAGATCACTCTAGCTATATTGATTACAAAGCAGCTACAACTGAACTCTGTTACTTTCCTCACAAGCTATGGCGGATTACTACAACTCTAAGAATCTTTCCAACCCTCCGCACTTGAATATCAAAATCATCACAGCTACACTCCTAAACACGCTGCAGCAGTCCCAGTTCAAGGTACACAAGATTCCAAGAATGATGAATACAACAGCCAATACACTGCAAGACAGGCCTTCAACTCTAATGCAGTTTCTACAAACTTTAGCTGCTCTGCTATTCTTCACAGAATTTCCTCTGTGTCCTGTACAATTAGCCCTCTCGTCCTTAGACTGGGACACCTGTGACGTACTATCTGTAAGATGCTGTTAAATTTAATGCATGCTGGTTATAATTAAAAAAAAAAAACTTTTGCGCCAACAAACAGTAAAGTGAATAGCACAAAAAAAGATAAGTGTAGCAGGCACTGCAAATTCTAATGCTCCACTAAGAAGCCAACCATGCACATCAACGAGCCATTTCAAATCAAACAACACAAACAAGTCCATCGGGGCCCTACCACTTGGGACCATTCGAGTTGCCCACTGACATTAGCTATTTACATAATGTTGTCGATCGAAGGAAAGCGGGAAGTATGTTCCGAACATCCCAGCTAACGCTGTGCATGGATAAAATTAAACCAGGCATGGCATTTTTAGAATGTCAAGGATTATATTACAAATGAAGTAGTAGAGGCGAAACTGGTGGTTTTGCTGGTGTAAAGGTCAGGATCCTAGAAGATGCTTCCTATCATCAACGCATGTTTCCGAGGCACCAAACCTCAGGGAGTAGCTACGTTTTCCTTGGCAAGTGGAGCAATCTCCTCTCCGTCGATGCCAGCCTGACTTCCCTCGACTCCAAGGCCAAGAAGCACCTCCTCCCACTTCTTTGCAGGCCCCTGGACCAGAGATGAGAGGGGTTATCCTTATCTTGACAAAGAGTAGCTGCATGTCAACGATAAACGGAAAACTTGGCATCTGTGCCTACCTTCCAGGACAGGTCTTGCCCCATGCAGTTCTGAACCATCTCATGGAATGCCGGGGTGTCGTACTGTTTCAGGGCTCGTGTGACAGTTGACGCTACTGCTGTGACATCAGCTGGATCTACAGTTTCACACTACAAGAGAGAGAGAGAGAGGAAATTAACCAAAGGCTATTTATTGAGCCTGAGAGCAATGAATCAGTGGTTGCCTATTATTCTTTACCTCAACATTGAACGAACCCATGTGGAATCCGGTGACACCCTCCTTAACCGTGTCAACAAGTCCTCCAGAAGATGAACAGACGGGTACCTGCAAAAATATTTGCAGTATTGATGGTCATTTTTTGCACTTTCTCTACTTAACTATGTGGTATTTTCTAACACTTCACAGGAATCAAGATGTAACATGATAAGAAAAAATGACTGCTAATATTTATCTTTAATAATACTTGCGTGCACTCAAATTTGAATTGTAACAAAGCGAGCTAGAAACTCTTACCACTCCATATCTCATCCCTTGTAACTGAATGAGACCACAGGGCTCAAACCTACTTGGGACAATAATGAAGTCAGCCCCAGCAAACATCATATGTGCCAATGGAACATTGAATTTCGCTACGCCTCTAGCATTGCTTGGATATTTCACTTCCAGCTGCGTCAATTCCTCCTCCATTTTCTTCTTTCCCGTACCCTGAAGAACAAAAGATTTTTTTTCTCAGCAACTATCAGGTTGTGAACTGTGTCGTGCAAAAGAATAAAAATCACTTTTAAATTGAAACATACAAGAACAATTATCTGAACATTCTCGCCCACGAATTCTGGAATGGCTGCAATGAGTATGTCAGACCCTTTCTGTTCTTCAAGACGGCCAACAAAAACTATAACAGGGATGCTCGAGTCCACAGGCAATCCAACTTCAGCTTGCAACCTTTCTTTATTGAGAGCCCTTGCTTCAGTTACCTGACAAATTATTTCATTATGTAGAGAAATCTCCATATGAGGTAAGAACGGGCGATGTGATAATAGACCTTACCGTTGTTGCATCATATTTCACACTGATGTACTTATCAGTTGCGATCCCATTCATAAACATCCATGCCATTTACAATTCCAATTTCAAGAGGCTTTGTGCGAAGGACACCATCCAACTCAACACCTTTATCTGGGCCAGAAGTGAGTTCCTTGACATAATGTGGACTAACTGTTAGAACCAGATCACTCTCAATGATCCCTGCCTTCATCCAGTTAATCTTTCTCCCTACAACAGGCTTAACATGTCTGCACACATTTGCATTGTACCAATGTCAAAGCTAGAAGAACATACAGATATTATGAAGCAATAGAATATGAACACCTTACCCATCAAGAAAATCAAATGATGGCAAGAAACTGTCAGGTAGATTAAGAAGATCGGAAGTCTGCTCTGGCAAATCTACCTTGATAGGCAATATTATGAATGCAGAAAGCAACCTACAAAACCACAATTAAGAAACAAAAATAATCGAAGCATGAAAACTAAAATGATCATTTGCTGCTCCCCACAAATTTTGTCCACAAGATTGCTTAAAATTAAAAAACAAAAAAGGAAATGCTAGACCTTAGCATTTGCATAAATTCCATTTGGCTTATACATGCTCTTCAGATAGCATGGCAGAACAGCAGTGTGCCAATCATTGGCTACAAAGACAACATCTTCCCCCTGATTACAAGAAAAAAACACAAATGCTAGTAAGTAAGAGAGTGTGGCCATGTTAGTTCATATAATAGACACACCTACCATATGGTCCAGAGAAATATTCAGAATTGTTGAGATTGAGAACTCTTGGAGCCTCCAAAGCAGCCTAAAAGGATAACTGGATTAGAAGTAAAATCACTAAAATGATATAAAACAGGAAATTGGTTGGATGGCAGTGTACTCTGAATAATCAAAAGTTGACTTGCCCAAAATTTCAGCCTAAGGTCAGTGGTTACATGTGTCCTAACTTCCATAGCAGAGGCCAATAAACTATATACTCATTTGGAAAGATACTGAGCTTCTGCACCGACCAATTCACTTAAATGTATAAGCCAAATGGAAGACATGTGGGCAGTATTATTAATACTTCAACCCATCCTCCAGCATCCATGCTCCATCAAGACTGTGGGTTGAACATGGAAATTTGATAAGGACAACGAGTAGACAGTTTTTTCCTTCGAACTATTTCATCCTCGACTTCTAACAATATGAGGCCAAAGACCAACCTAACCCACAATGTGACCGCAAAAGCCTAGAAAACTTAGGGAAACATTACATGCCAAACTTTCCAGGTTTCAATTTGAAACTTACCTTGCCTAATAAGGTATTATATGTGACATTAGCAGTTAGAATCTCTTAGTAGATACCTAGATGGTGCAGTATACTGATGCAGAAAAGTTATGTTAGTAATAGGCTTAGAAAATCAAATAGTCAATAAGATGTTGTGTTATCAGAAGAGCAAATGCCACAGCAGTAGTCTGACAACAACAACAACAACATGGTTTTGCTCACCTCAACCAAAAGTAAATTCACCATCAACAGAAATAAAATTGCAAATGCTAAAGCAAAGTAAAAAAATACAATTATTAGGCTGCTCATGCTAGTTTATGTGGAAATAGTGAAAGTGGGAACAGTGGTGGGTGAGGTGGGGTGTGTTGATGGCAAGGAAGAGGTATTGGGGCAAAAGGGTAATTTCAGTGTGGTAACAATTCTTATATGACATGGTGAAAATGGCACATCATACAATCTTCAGTGTTTGAGTTGCTTCATTTTAGCTGCAATGGTTGTAGCTGAAGACATTAAATGCCAGTCTTTTCTGTAACAAATATAGAAATTCCATCCAACAAGTTTTTCTTGGAAAGTTGCATCATTCGTTGTGTTTTGTAAAAAGGAAAAGTTATAATTTTACAATGAGATTGTTCACCAATAAGGGTTTTTTTAGGAATCCAAAAGATCAAGAGTTGCCAAGGATTACTAAAAAAACTAAAGTATACCTTAAATTAGGAAAGAGAATGCATGGGTTTGCTAAGCGTAATTGGATTACTTACAAGGCACAAAAGGCAGAATCTCAACTGGTTATCTCGATAGTCACTTCCAGTAGTAGGACCATACAACTTTGCTCCAGTCTTGCCCCATACCTGGAGTATATGATTCAAATGCAACATTGAAAGGTCACCACCTGTGCTTAGGTTATTCAGTAAGCAATTAAGCATACAATGGATCAATAGATTCAACAGACCTTTTCAAGAAACATAGGATGATCGACAAAAACACGATCGACTCCTCTTTTGTGGCAGTGGAAGAAGCGAACAGTTTCTACCGTGTCACCAATATTTACCTGTGGAAGTGAAACATATTTCAGTTTTTTATAGAATATAAATATCATTAAGCAGCTTCAAGTTAAATGCAAGCTACAAAGCAATACAACAAAAACGTATACCTCAACAAGGACACTTGTATCCCATGCATCCTTGTATTGATCATAACGAGGAGCTATTGTCATGATCCGGTGTCCCATAGCCTATAAAAAGTTACATACATAATGTAAAACATTGTTTACACAGAACTTTCTATGCAATACAATCTCCAAAGAGAAGAAATAGACATGATAACTGCATTAAGCATCATTGTAGTATGCAGAAACTATCTTTGAGTTATTCTGCTGCTATGGCTCAATTCAAGGGTGATCAGATATTCTCAATTGGACCTAATTACCAAAGAATTTGGTAATGAACAACTGGTTTGCAAAATGGACTCAAGCTTTTAAACTTGTGGTTATTGAAAATAGTAACGTGTTGCAAGAATACTTACAGCCAAAGCTGGGGGCAGTCCTCCTGCAACATCACCGAGACCACCAGTTTTGCACCATGGGTGCACTTCAGTTGCAACAAATATTATAGTCATCCCAGTAGAACATACAATAGGTGCCCGAGGCCTAGTAGTCTTTGGATGAATTCCATTATTTGTAGCTCTTCTTTTAGCCAGGTGTGTCTTACTTCGCATGGATTGGGAGTACTTGCTTAAGAACTTAAGTCCACCATTACAATATTGTTGGAATTGCATGTGAGGTGCCTGCTGTAGTGCACTGGGCCTATTTGTTTGGTAAGAACCATTGGCAGATATTGAACCCATCATTGCAGCCATTCAATGATGACCTGTCAAATGCCAAATGAAGATTTTGAAGTTTTTCATGTTATCCTGGTTCAGAGAAAAATGAAAAACTAAATTGCCTAAGCACATATTCTCATTCTCAAAGGAGAGGCAGCACACAAAAAAAGAAGGTACATATTATGTTGATCTAGAGCAAATATTCATGAGACTAGATCCAAGTATAACATTTTGAGGTTTCAAGTGCCTGAAGGATGAGAATCCCAAACTTAAGATGCTGAAGTTATTAGAGGGGACGGCAGAGCAGCCCCATAACCTGAAACAGGGCCTCAAGTTCAACCAGAGACACCATTCAAGAGAAAGCCATTTTTTCTAACGCCGAGTTGCAGATAGTTACCCGAGATTCTAAATCTACGAAAAAAGTTAGTGGGGTTTCTTTTTTTCTTTTGAGCGAAAAATACAGCAAGGGAGACCCCCATTGTAAGTTTTATAAACAAAAGGAAACAAGAACAACACTGTACAAAGGGGCCTCAAAGGAGCAGCAAAAGAACAACAGAGAAGCCAGCCTGAGGTGGGCTGCAGGACTAATCTAGGGCAGCTATACAAGAAAGAAAGAACACTTTTCCTCACTGTGAGCCTGTTAGTGCGGATTCTGACATCAAGATCACCATGCACCTAGCTCAGTTACCAAGATCAGCCATTTTTACTCAGAAATAGGAGATTTTACACCAAAATATCAAAAAAAATTAGATTTCCTTGTTTATTTTTTTATTTATTTTATTTTCAAAAAAGGTTTCCTTGTTTCAATAAGTGTGACTAACTACAAGGTAAAAGAAATAAGAAAAGAAAAGATTTCCACGTGGATGAGTACCTCCACTTAAATAAACTGCAGTTCATATTACTCAACTGAAATGGGAGATTTTTTTAATTAAAAATGGTTTGTCCGAAAAGATAGGCGATTTTTTTTACCAAGGACCATTCATGGGCAGACGGTTTTTAAAAATTGTTTCCATTTGACTGATGAGATTTTTCACTGAAAATGATTGGGTGACATAGGGTCCAACCAATAAAACTTACTCAGGGTATAACAAACATGGAAATCCAAAAAAAAATTCCCACAACGGGATACTCAAATTTCATTACCCAGAAGCAACGAAATTCCACAGTATATTTAGTTCAAACATGGAAAATCCACATTATCATGACTCAAGATGTCACTGTCCTAGCAACCTGCGGCCTTGTTCATGATTAAAAAAAATAGTGGACCTAGTTGGCCCTGACATTCTCTCACTTTCTTTTATTGGGAATCATCTCTTTCTCCGGTGCTAGGATCCAAGACATGAAGGTGAGTGACATGCAAAGTATAAAGATTCAAACATGGCAAAGCAAAGTGCTAATAATAAGTGTATTTCAACCGAGTTGAACTTTCTGTTAAAAACTTGCACTAGGTAATCCGAAGCCCTATTCACTCCACCGAATGGATAAGATATGATGAATTAAATAACTATTATTTGATAAATCTATATATACTTACTATCAGTGCTTGTTGAGCATTAAAGGATTTGAGAATATATGTGGTCTATTGTGCTCAGAGATGGATTTGAGAAAAGGATAGTGCCATTAGATCTAATATGAAAAGTATTATGTGTCAATAAGTCACTATATAACCCCCCCACTTTGGATAATAATGTTTTATTGGCACATCCAAAAGATGTGCTAGATTTGTTCAGAAGGCAAAATCTTGCCATCAGAAAGGTGTGCATGTGACGGCATGCAGAACTGAGAGTAATGATTCATGTAAGAAATGGTGCCCTGATACAAAAAACATCATATTAAGTGCCTCTCAGGAAATTTTTAGCAACACAGCACGTTTGTGGAAGAGCTGGCCCCAGGACTAGTTTCTCGGACACCCCCTGACCAAACTACCTCTGAATTCGGGCAGACGCTCGAACAGAGAATACAGTACTCTCCCAGATACTGAAGCCATAGATCAAAAACCGGGAGCGTGCACGGAGCAGGATGCACGGGAGGGGCAGGAATTGAGCTTTATTTTGCACATTGTGAAACAATAAGCAATAAGCTTAGCAAACCTCAGTGCGCACGCACATCACACTCTTCCCAAATCCGAACTCCCATTGCAAAACCACACAACAAAGACAACTTCACGGTGGACAAAAGCAAACAATCCCAGGATTGCTAACCCCTCTGCATCCCCCCTTCCTGGAATCCCAAGTGCATTCTGAAATAAAAGGTGAGAAGAGCAGGAGGAGGAAAGGATCTCAAATGCAAATGCCAGCCAAGTACCTCCCGCTGCTAGTGCTCCGCGCTGGCTGCAACCGCGGAGGAAGGCGAAGAAGCGGCTGGGTGTTGTTGGCTCCTCGGGGGAGTGCAGACTGCAGAAGCACGGAGGCGCACTCGGCACTCAAGTAGAGGAGGAAGCAGGCGGCGAGTGGCGACGCAGCGCGCCGAGGGCCAGGAAAATATCGCGCGGGTGACAGGCGGCGAGCGCGTAGTGGCTAGCGCACGGGCGCCACACGATGGCTGCACCGGCGCGGCCCGCACCAGCACGGCCACCACCACACATGGTGGTGACATGGGGCGGGCCGCCTCACCACCGGCGTACCGGCACCGGCGCGCGGCTGGGGGCGAATATGCCGAGTCAAAAGGCGTGATGTGAAGCAGGCAGCAGGGGCGAGGGGGGCCGACCTCGGGGCGGGCAGGCGGCACGAGGGCCGTCGGTTCGTCCCCGGGCCCAGCAGCGGAAAAGGGCCCCGTGCGCGGCAGGGGCGCGGGGGAGCGTGAGCCGTTGGTTCCCAAACGTCGGCGTCGGCGTCGGCTAGCGGCAGCCAGCCACTGAGGGCGGCGTGTTGCGGAGGACACGGGGAAACGACGCCGGACATGTGTTGGGACGGCCCCCCCATGGGGTGATCGCGTACGAGATTCATCACGTTAGCTTGAGTTATAAGCTGTATTTTTTTAATTAAAAAATAATATTTTTTTACAATAAATTAATCAACAGTACTTTCAGCTATGGTTTATCAGCCAAACAAACAGGACAATCATTTTTTAGCAGTTCTTTCCTCTCTCTTTTTTCTGATGACGGTGAGCAGAGGGGATGGCTTCAATACTCTCTTCCCTCAAAAAGGTACTATGATTTTATTTCTCCTCCTATATTACAAGATAAATCCGGAACAAGATGCTCCACCAGCAAAGTTGTGTCCAGATGGGAATGTCCCGGTGACACTACGGCCTTGGCTAACTAAAATGTGGCGCTAAACGGCACGAGGCCAGCATACCATCTAGCTTGGCAGCGGCACTCCGGCGTCGGTCTAGCTCGGTGATAGCGCGCTCCGTCTTCATTTAGCTCGGGCTCGGCGGTGGCGCTTCGGCTCGATCTACCTCAATCACTCGATGGTGGCGCACGGCTCTATCTCATCGAGTTCATCGAGTTTCCGTCCTCTTGTGAACTCTAGTCGACCACCTCATCAAGATCTGTTTAGGAGAGCTCCAAAAACAGATTCAGATCACGAAGTCACATATATTTACCATAGAGCAACTCTATTGTGGACTTAAGTTTCTATAAACATCTTTTAAAGAGCTCGCTGTAAATATGAATTCATATGTATATGTAATTACAAAAATTTAATCAAGACTCAAATGAAAAAAAAACACAGAACACTCCTTCTCCGTACCCACCACCTCCACAGCTACAGGTGTCGGCACCTCCCTCCACAGCGGCGGGTCGGCACTCGGGATGGGCAGTGCCTTGCATGGGCGCGATGGCATGAGCTCTGGCGGTGTGGGGCGTTGGGGGCATAGCGGCACCATGGGGCGCGACGGCGAGGTGGGACACAAGCAAACGACGCAGGGCGGTGGCAGCGAGAACGGAGGTTCGGCGCAGGAACGCAAACAAGAAAAAAAGAAAAAGAAGTGAACCGTTATTTTTGTGTAACTAATGGTATGATTGGATAATTTTTGCGAACTTCACAAATCTCTAAATTTTCAGAGCACCTACGAGGTGCTCCACGAAATCCATGAATCTAGGAGTCAGATCCATGTTTTTGTGTATCTTAGAGCCAGCGGAACTAAAAATGTTTGGATAAAAAAATGAGAGTGGAGTTGTTTTTTCTTTTTTCTTTTTGTAAATTTAGAGTTGCTGGAGCTCTTACAAACAGAGCCATGTCTTATGCTACCTGGAGTCATGCCCGCGACCTCACCCCTCAATAGCGCCACAGTGAAGCGTCCCAACAGCGTTGCACACTCTTCTCATCCACTGCCAATGACGGTGAAAAAGCTATAGGGTGCCAAACATCAACCCTGGCTTTTTTCAACAAGCAACTTGTGTGGTGAGCTAAAGAAAAGTCGACTTCTCAAGTATGCTCATGAAAAAAACAGTTCCAAATAGAGCCTATATGATGTTCTCACCCTCCTCATCAAAACCTTTTATAAACTATGAAAGAAGTTGTATAACAAGATGGGTTGTAGCAAAAGTTGCTACGGAACCTTAAAAATGTAACCTTAAGTCAGGGACAAAAAATCCTAGAGATTATATTTTTAGATGGGATTTATGGGAGTTAAGGATCAATTCCTACATCTTGAAAAAATTCAGTTAAGAGATGCACTACTACAGGATTTTTTTTGCGCAGCGTTTCACTTTGGAGCTCCAAGGCGGGCAGCCTGGTTGCCCGCCTCAGTTATTCAAGGCCGGACAGCCGGGCCAGCAACCGCCTTGGTTAATCCTTAACCAAGGCAGGCACGGTAAAGAAACCGCCACGGTTAATCCATTAATCGAGGCGGTCTAAAGCAACCGCCTTGGTTAACAGACGATTAACCGAGGCGGTTTCCTTATAGTGCCCGCCTTGGTTAAGTCTGGACTATAAATACAACCTCACCCACCATTCTTCCCCACGACTTCTCCATTTTTGGGTTTTGACCTCAAAACCCTAAAAAATTGCCATTTTCTAGGGGGTTGCCCTTGGATTTGGTGAAGGGGGGCACCGTAAAAGGTTTATTCTCGCTCTCAAACC